ATTCATTCATTTGTTCATCACTTACTGAATATATCTATCATATGCTGTTTACCATCTTTGAGCTCTGGTTTTTATGTTGATCATAAACAAAGAGTATTCTCATTTTTGGTTTTCTGATCTTTGTGCCACTACAATTTAACTTATAAAGACATTAACGAGGTGGTCTCTGAAATGCTCCTGTGCATTTACGATCCTGTTCCTCTCTGAAATAACCTTTCCTTCATCAGTTATCTGATGACTCATTCATTCTCTTCCCCCTTTTTACAATGAGGATTGAACCTAAGGCCTTCACACTGAGCTACACATCCCCAGCCATTGTTTAATTGTTATTTTTCATTTTGAGACAGCTCACTAAGTTGCTCAGGAAGGATTTGAAGTTGTGATCCTCCTGTCTGAGCCTCCCAGAGTTCTGTGATTCCAAGAATGGACACTACAATTTGCTGGAATGTCATTCTTTAAATTCCACTCAAATGACAGCTTGGCCATCTTCATCTGGTTTACAGACTATCTCCTGAGCTTTCTCTGCTCTATGCCTTTTTATTTCACAGCATTTATCGTGTTCTACTATAAAATGTCTAAAATATCCCCTAATTATTCCTGTCTCCATCATGTTAGAACACCCTCTCTGTTGTCTTCTTGCATACTTGTTTTCCATGGGGCAAGGTATTGAGAATGATCTTCAGAAAACAGCTAGCATGAAACTGAGGACCTCAGTCTTACACACCATAAGGAACTAAAACATGGGCTTGTGGGTGAATGCTTCCCCTATTGAACTTCAGGTGAGACGTCAGCCCTGAATGGCACCTTGATTGCAGTCCTGTAAGACCCTAGAACAGAGGACCAGCTAAATGTGTCTTTTTCCTGACCTTCTGAAATTGTGACATAATGAACATATATCCTTTTAAATGGTTTCTAAGTCATCTGTTATGCAATTTACTTATTTATTTCACTTAACCTTAGATTGTTACTTCTTTAGACTTGACATCCTGTCTTATTCACCTTGTTTCACCATTAGTTAATACTGCTCTGACATATAGTAGAAGCTAAACAAATTTTGTGAACAGCGTGGTAGTAAAGCAAGTTCACAGGTTTTACAGAAAGGAAATCAGCTGGCATCAACTTTATGATCTTTATTTCATTCAAGTTGAATCTCAGCATTTTTTTTAATGTGGAAAACTAAAGAATAAGATTTACTAGAACCCCACTCAGCCCTAGAAGTTTTTAAATCTTGACTCCTCTCTTTAAAAGTAAGTGTTGGGTGAGTAAGGTAATGCACGTTAGCTAAGCTAGCAATGAGCAAGCTTGAGACAGGAGGATTGCAAGTTCAAATCTTGCCTAGGTAACTAATTGAGACTGTTTTAAAATAAAAAATAAGAAGTGCTAGGGACATAGCCCAGCTGTAGAGTGGTTTGATCCCCCATATTGCAAAAAACATTATTAATCTTATGTTTGAGACATATATTTTAGTGGATGACTTGATTGTTAAATAGCTCTGTATTCTTATACTTTTTAAGTCTGATGTGCAAAAATAGTCATGGCAAAAATAGCAGATCCCTGACTTTTAGAAATGATGACTCAATTAAAAAAAAAACCCAAAGAATTAATAGTAAGAACACAAAAGTTGGAATGAATTTATGAAAAATTGAAATCAGTTTTAAAAAGAGCATTTTTTGACATGTAGCACGACATCTAACAACTTTCTTAATTAATAGACTGAAAACCAGATAACACAATTTTAGAGAGGAATTTTGTTTTCCATGCTGACAGGAAACATTTGTTTTGTTTTAGCCAGACGGTTTTTTAAAATGCTATTTATAATGGCTTTGCCAAAGTAAAAAAAAAAAAAAAAAAAAAAAAAAAAT